AATTGGTGTCCCCCGATAGATAGATAGATTCACAGATCTCGAATTTTTATGCATTACGCGATTAGAACTGCGTTCTGTCGAACGCAACAAAAATTCTCCGTCTGAACTTTTATATTATTAATTTTTGTAATTTCTTGTTTTCGTTTACTTCATTTTAATAGACAGGCTTTTTTTACCTCCGACGAGGCAGCCCACTAAAACCTCTGAATGCTTTTACTCCCAGGAAAACGTCGTTGCGTTTACTCGCGAACATATATAGCGACTAAATGTTGCAAACCAGAAAATAGTAGATATAAGTTAGTACTAACGTGGTACAAATGAGCTTATTATCAATATCAGTTGAGCGCCGTGAGCTTTTTGATGTGGAATCAGTCATTCTTAATGCGCTATGAATAAGATATATGTAGCTGAGCCAGTGCATTGCAGTCACGCTATTTCGTTTATATATAGAGGAAACTCAGAAAATTTGAAGAGGTAGCATTTAACTTTTGTGAGCTCAATTACAACCCGGCATCCACGGGTCATTTCGCTTTGTCATTGATTAATTTACTTTAATTTTAAACTTGATCTACTTTTCGCCTGATAATGTAGATCTCTTGTTTAGGTTCGGTAGTTCAGAGGAGTAGCTTTGGTAATTGGTGGCTGCTAAGGACTATTCTCTGAATTTTCAAACTAAAGTTATGATTGCTGTTGTTGTTGTTGTTGTTGTCGTTGTTGATACGTAACCTCAAACAAACAAAGCACTAAATAGGTCATACCTGGAAGATAAGGGTCTTAGTTTTAATTAACAAAATATTGCTTATCGCTAACAGTTCTGTACTTTGTACCGGAAGCTTTTCAACTGCACCATTTTACTTGACTGTGCAACATACCGAAATAAACACTCGTGTACACTTACNCGAATTGGTGTCCCCCGATAGATAGATAGATTCACAGATCTCGAATTTTTATGCATCACGCGATTAGAACTGCGTTCTCTCGAACGCAACAAAAATTCTCCGTCTGAACTTTTATGTTATTAATTTTTTGTAATTTCTTGTTTTCGTTTACTTCATTTTAGTAGACAGGGTTTTTTACCCCCGACGAGGCAGCCCGCTAAAACTTCTGAGTGCTTTTACTCCCAGGAAAACGTCGTTGCGTTTATTCACGAACATGGCGACTAAATGTTGCAAACCAGAAAATATTAGATATAAGTTAGTACTAACGTGGTACAAATGAGCTTATTATCAATATCAGTTGAGCGCCGGTGAGCTTTTTGATGTGGAATCAGTCATTCTTAATGCGCTATGAATAAGATATATGTAGCTGAGCCAGTGCATTGCAGTCACGCTATTTCGTTTATACATAGAGGAAACTCAGAGAATTTGAAGAGGTAGCATTTAAATTTTGTGAGCTCAATTACGACCCGGCATCCACGGGTCATTTCGCTTTGTCATTGATTAATTTACTTTAATTTTAAGCTTGATCCTCTTTTCGCTTGATAATGTAGACCTCTTGTTTAGGTTCGGTAGTTCAGAAGAGTAGCTTTGGTAATTGGTGGCTGCTAAGGACTATTCTCTGAATTTTCAAACTAAAGTTATGATTGTTGTTGTTGTTGTTGTTGTTGTTGTTGTTGTTGTTGTTAAGTAACGTCAAACAAACAAAGCGCTAAATAGGTCATACCTGGAAGATAAGGGTCTTAATTTTAATTAACAAAATATTGCTTATCGCTAACAGTTCTGTACTTTGTACCGGAAGCTTTTCAACTGCACCATTTTACTTGACTGTGCAACATACCGAAATAAACACTCGTGTACACTTACATCGTCATCTAGAGAGCAATAAGAATAATAAACTCATGTTTTTCATAAATTATTTTCACAAGATACTAGCTTTGCAGCATTTCATCTTCATTAGCATTATTTATACACCATTAACATGAATGCCATTTATTGGCGACCAATGAAAGTGGTATTACATAAAAATGATATGATCATAGGGCAATATACTGAATGGCGATTCGATTTTCCAAATGGTTGAGTTCATTAAGGCTGGCTTGTGGTTTTAAACACAATCAAAAACGTTTTAAGGAGATGCAGAACCTTGAGGCAGTTGTCTTTCAACGTCATCAAAAATATTTCTATTCCTATTTTGGTCTTTCCAATGACTTGGAAACTCAAAAGACGCGTACAGAACGTAAGCCTAGGACGGTTTTTATACAGAAAAATCCATTAAAAAAATTGTCAGAGGACTATTCCACTTAACTATAATAATTTTTCAGCAGAAAAACAAAAAACAAAAGAACACAAACCAAATCAAAACAAAGAAATGATGTGAAGTGACTGACCCCTTCGCTTAAATATAATATCTTTTGTTTCAGTAACAAAAGCATTATATTGATGTCAGTTTGAAACGTATTTTTAGAACACTTGAAATTTTTTGCACAACATTCTTTGCGATTTTCCCTTCCCAAAAAAAAGCACACATGTTTGCTAATGATAAAGAGCTAAATTTTGAATAAAGCATTTCTTTTTTGTTTCAGGAATTTTTGAGGTAACATTGAGAGTCTGGACTAGGTGCAGGATTGTCAGTCATCAGCTGAATTTTGGGCGATTTTCTGCAGTCATTTATTGGAACTATCGATGAATTTTCAGAATTCAGATATCAGCCATCAGATAAATGATGCATTTTCTATCAGCTAATAATGAAATTCAGACCAATTCACAGTTATCGGTTAAACTCCACCCAGACCCTCTAAAACTTCGGACTGCAACCAGCCGGTCTGAGATATAGAATCGAGATGCCACCTACAATAAATTAAAAGTAGACACCTCGGGATTTAAGATCTAATAAGGATAAGAAGACTAAAAAAAAAGGTACCAACATACTCCAATAGTACTTTTCAGGGGGATAAGATTCCTTTTTTCCACCGAACCTTTCATAAGTCAGAATAAACAGAAACGATTTATGAGAGTAGAATTCTCAACCAGTTGCATGTAACACCAATCCGAACATTTCAGGAGAGCAGGAATTTGATGCTAAAACTCTATAGTAAGATGCGGTTGAAATTAGGGGTTTGTTCTCAGTTTCTTCTATGTATGAAGCGAAAAGCATTAATTCATTCTAAAGGAAAACGTTACAACTCTCTGAATTGTTAGTTTTTAATTACTATATCTCTCTGAAAACATTTCATGGATATAATTCAATGCATGTAAATGATGTGAACCAAAAACGATGTTTCTTTGTACGGTAGCTGAAAAATACACAACTTATTTATTATTGAACAGTGGTTAGTGTCCAACAATTAGATGTGTTAAATTGATTCTCATTACATTCAAAAGTTGGATCCTTTGATATTATGGTCGTCTGGTAGTGCGTGGTAGAGTTGTGGATGTTGGCGGTATATGGCTCAGGCTCATTTGTCATCATCATCGTCGTCATCGTCGTCATCGTCATCGTCATCGTCATCGTCGTCGTCATCGTCGTCGTCATCGTCATCGTCATCGTCATCGTCATCGTCATCGTCGTCGTCGTCGTCATCGTCATCGTCGTCGTCGTCGTCATCGTCATCGTCATCGTCCTCGTCATCGTCGTCATCGTCCTCGTCTTCTTCTTCTTCTTCTTCCTCCTCCTCCTCCATCTCTTCCTCCATCTCCTCTTCTTCTTCTTCTTCCTCTTCTTCTTCTTCTTCTTCCTCTTCCTCTTCTCCACTTTCTTCTTCTCCACTTTCCTCTTCCCCACTTTCCTCTTCTCCGCTTTCCTCTTCGCCACTCTCCTCTTCGCCACTATCTTCTCCTCCCTCCTCTTCGCCACTATCTTCTCCTCCCTCCTCTTCGCCACTATCTTCTTCTCCATTATCTTCGGCTTCGTCTGTAACATAAAGAATATCATCGAATCTTTTTACACTGAGCACTAGAACTATGATCAATTTCCTTGATATTATCTTAATGATTGCATTAAACGTGCGGTGCTTTCATTGCTTCTGGTGGTAAAGGGAAGTCATTACTTTTGAAAATGTACACCTGAGTGTGGCACAGTGCCTTAACAACAACAACATCAACAAACAAAGTTATGGTTTGAACCCAGGAGTATTATTAGTTCGTGTATGGCGTGATTGTCTGGGTGAGGGCAGTTCTGAAAAGAATTGTTGTTGGTGACTAACTGAAAGAAAAATTCTCAAAATCAAGAACTGCAGAGGCTCTCGTGGTCATAATGGTTAACATTATGCTCATATGGGAAAGCACTGACTTCATTATTCATTCGTCTAACCACCTTATTCTATGTCAATGTCTTTGATGACACTTTTCAATAGGGCGCTTATTAGAAAAGAAACACTAAGTGGCGAGTTGTCGAGGATTAGGAAACCGCGTGCATTTTTGTTCTTACACAATATCTGTTTATAACAAAAGCCAGAAACTACACTTTTATGCTTCATAGCAGGGACAAATGGTAAAGATTGTGGTCAAAATGTTCATGAAGTGAAGCAAGCTTCCTAGAGTATAGTAATGATCATATGAAATGAAAGTACGTCAACAAAGGGATAACACCTCGTCCTTGCGCGTTTTTCTTGCAGTTACCTGAAGACGACGACCGTATTGGTTTATTGTATTACTGCTGTTGGCTTATTATTTTTACTCTTATACAGATAACATAACACGTTCACTGGTGATAAAGAAATTGTATACTAATTGGCTTCCAACGTTCTTGAATTAGACGATATAATTTTTGGACCTATTCAAAGGCAAGTAATTTATTAAAATTTTCATCTCTTTCTCTCTCTTTGATCACAATAATTCATGTAATACCTCAAATGCTGTATTTTAAAAGGAGCCTAAACATGAAAGGTCTTTTTATTGGTTAAGCCAGAAATGTCTGTAGCGGGACAAAGTTCCGCCGGCCTTAATCCTCTTTTGCTTCATAACAGCGTAAAAACCGAGGGCAAATAATTTGGCTGATTAGTTCGGCCATGTGTCCATTCGAGTGAAGCAATGTCTGAATTCCTCTTTTTCAATTCGAAACTTGCTTTTCTCCCGTTGTTTTGCTAAATAAGTTAATCTTGAGATCGATTTGGTATTACAGGAAGGTGGGTGGATCTGATCGGTGTAAAGCAATGCTGCGCAAAATTAACGCTCTGCAATATAGATAATTTTTGCTTTGAATTAAAGTCTGTTGAAACAGGAAGTTTCACAAAAAAGGATGCTATTTTTGTCTTAAAATACAATTTTTACACAAAACAGTGACGTGAGTAGTTTAACCTATGGCAGCATTTTACGGTTCTGATGATGAAACAACAGTGAAAACTTCAGTGAGATAAACTCATGTTAAGAAATTTCAACGTTCTATCTAATGAAGCAAAATCCAGGAGGAGACGTTATTGTTCTTCCATTATTTCTTACCATGTTCTTAAAGAACTTGTGCCATTAACTGATCACAAGGGCGATATTTCTAAAAGGTTTGTTTTGTTCATTCATCTTTTGATTAGAAATGTAAACGAAAGTAAAGATGTGTACAGTTAAATATAATCTTACCACCTTCCATAGGCAAAGGAGCAGCTGAAAGATGTCCAAATAAAGCGACAAGGCAAAGAAAGATTTTCACAGTTTTCGAATTCATCTTGGCGAGCTAGCTCTCTCCTTCGTGACGATATTCCGGGCACTATAATACCATGCACCCCAGCACGAGGCAATTTATAACCCGCCGATATCGGAATTATGCAATATGATATTGTTTGCGGGTTCAGATATCGGTTGCTAAGAAGATAGAATTCATAACAGTATATAAACATCCGTCATATCAGCGTGCGAGCTTAGCAAGAATTGCTTCGTCACTACCTCGTATGAGTAGCTCAGGAAGCAGGCCTCTTGGTTAAAAAAACCGCAAGCAAAAGAGCATACACGAACGCCGGTCTTCTACAAAAAATGACGATGTAATTAGACTGCTTTCGACATTAAGGAATTCAGCTGGGAAAACAACTAAATAGCAGTTAATAAAGATGTTGTATTAGTTAAGTCTTGTCCTCAACCCGAGGAGGAACTTCAACAGCAAACAAACATACCCACTTGAAATGAAAATTTGTAACTAGCATATTTTAGGAGGAATTAATGAATATAATGTGATATTGTTACGTTAGCAATTGAATGACAGTTATTAATATCTGTTCTTTAACGGCAAGAGCGTAACTTAACCTATTGGAAGTGAATACCTAAGTTTCAACTTTGAGCCGGCTCATCGTCCATTTTCATATAACGAAATGCATTTCATATAACGAAATGCATTTCATATAACGAAATGTATAACGAAACTAGAAGATAAATGGGAGTATTCTTAAAGTGCTCCTAACCATCCGATTAACTTAATCAATCTAGAAACATCTTATTTTCAAACAACCAAGAGGTGATTACATAAGACTTGTCAAATTGAATAATGGCGTAAGCTTTTGTTTCTGCTGAAGGGCAGAGTGAATCAAAACTGTTCATTCCGCTGCCTGTTCCTGTTGNATTTTGGTCATAAATAGGGTAAGGGTTTTGGGAAGCAGGCCGCACACCCCCACCCAATTTTTCTGGGAGTGCCCCCCTCCCCGCTTGTGTACAACCTTGTGCCCGCAACCGAGGAAACCGCGCAGAAGAAAGTCATTGCCTAAGGACATCATGGTTTCCAAATTTCCAAACACTGCCTTAGCAAACGTTCGTTGACATTGAAACTGCAGCCGCTCGACAAGCGCTTATGTAAAACTCGGTGATTCTTGAACAAAATACTGTGGACAATCCTGAATTTCGAAAAAGAAATTGTTTTAAATTTGGAGACGTAACTGCGATATTAACGTTTCTGATGTTAGTTCTTTGAAGAAAGTGGCAGTTAATGTTTGAAAAACACCTCAGTTTGGTCATTATATTGTTGATGCATCGGCACAGAGCCAGAACTCAATTGAGATGAGAATGGGATTAAAATAGAAACCCAATATACTCCGTGGATGGTTTGTATGAAATGTAAATAGGTATCATTATTCAATGCTGATGGTATAGAGAATTGTAAAAAAAAAAAAAAAAAAATTCGACGAAGCGATCAGTATTATACATGATTATGTATACATGCTAATAAGAATCGAATGGTGCAAATATTGTTAGAAACAACAACTACTGCATTGGAACAGAGTAACATAACACCTGTGAAATAAATTTTATCTAAAACAAACATCAGCTACTTGTAGCACAAAGTGATGAATAGAGACTCAGTCTGTTTAAAAAAGTCAAGTTATATTAGAGGCCACATCTTTTGGTATTTTTGATAACAACAGTGAACAAGTATAGTCCTTACTATATAGTTGGGACCGTCACGTGTAATGCCAATGTTATGTAATTTATCCACTCGGTACTACGGGATATACTTGACCAGTGCAATCAAGGATGAAATGGAACTTACAAACACTTTTGTTGAGAAAATAATAAAAAAGAACCATTACTAGTATTTCTAGCGAGTTATCAGGAGAAAGAGGATGCTAATGGGGTTAACCGTCGCCAGTAAAATGACCTTAAATTAACGATCAACCATCTAGTCAACGGTTAAGAGAAACAAATTTACCGCCAGCCGTAAAATAATCCAAAGTGTGACCGCCGACCGTCGAAGGGACCCTCTAGAAGCACGTGCGTAAGTTTTCAAGTTACAGAAATGCTGTGGGAACACGAGCCTCTCCTGAGTCTTTCCACAGCTTTCACGAGTGGTTCTATTTAAGGACGTTCGCGCGAAAATTTTCCAGTCGATACATTTTTTAAAGATAATGTTGTCAGGTAATGTTGTGAGTCAGATAATGGTTGCTTGTATTAGGAATGCAAAAAAAAAAAAAAAAAAAAAAAAAAAAAAAAAA